ACTGGAGGCTCTTGGATCCGGTATGGACCTAGCGACCCAGATAAATGCTATCCTTAATTCTTTGCCTCCTTCCTTTAATCCGTTCATCATGAACTATAACATGAACAAGCTGAATGTCAGCTTGTAAGAGCTCAGCAATATGTTGCAAAGAGCTGAATAACTGATTAAAAAGGACGATTTCCAGTAGGATCCAAGGGTATATAGATGCCGATTTCCAGTCGGATCCAGATGATAAAAAGTCTACATCTGGATATGTTTTCACGATAGGATCGTGTGCTGTTTCCTGAATGTCAACATACAGGGGTCCTGAGTAGCAAATTAACAGTCCACAACCCAAGCCGAGCGCATTGCCGTAAGTGAGGCTGCCTTATGAATGATGGTGTTCATTTCTAAATTTGGAATTCAGCACATCACCCATTCCACTGTGGTATGACAACACTGGACCTACGGGAGGATGATGTTAAGAGGTAGCATCAACAGAGAATGTGGTAGATCCATTGACAAAGCCACTATCACAGAAAGTGTTTTAGAAACACGTGGAAAGCATGGGACTTTGGCTTGTACCTGATTGAACCTAAGTGCAAGTGGGAGCTGTTAGACAGTTTTGTATGCCCTTAGCTTCAATTAGAATGATGTACTTTATGAGTTTATTGTAAATGAACAAAAGTGCATATTTGATTCATGTCCCCTTGGTATGTTTCTGTGTAATACCCTTAAACTGGATGCTTAATGAGACTCGTGTTAGTTTAGAATGTTTACAGCCAATGGGTCGGTCTGGGGAGACCTATCCTGATAAGGTTGACACTGTGGTGCCACCAAGTCGGTTGGGGTGGCCTGTCTCAGCTGTCGGGGTGAGACCCTAGGCACTTACAGTGTAGGATTAATTGAATCTTTGAACTGGACCAGATTTCCAATATTGCCCTGGACCTTGGAGATTGATGGGCAAAACTGGAAAGTTACATCCGACCCCTAGACTCGATTATGATATTGCACTAGGTGTCGGATTGAGCTGTCTTTGATGTACCAAT